CAAGTTATATCTACTGAATTTCAAACATTCACCAAGCACCTTGAAATACACCTCCCAGATTTAGGCAGCAATCATAAAGTTGTGAAGGCCAGTGACCAACTTATTTTCATGATTTAAGTAAGGCATCAGCTTTGCTAAGTTACTATATAGATATTTTCAATGGGTACCAAGTCCTAAGCTAGGTCCCCTAAAGCACTGGCTTTAGAACCTGACTGTACCTTGGAATCCCATGGAAAACTTTAAAACAGCAATGCCCAAGTTAACCCCCAGGGAATCCAAAAATGTGGAACACAGTCTGGGCATCAGTACTTGAATACTGATGGTAAATCTAATATGGCAAAGCTTAAGAACCACTATTATAGGAAGCAAAAAGAAATACAAAAAAGTGGAAATCACTAAAACGTCCATCACCTAAAATGAGTAGATAACTAAAATATGGTTTATCCATACAATGAAATCTTCAGCAATAAAAAGAAAGACTCACTGATATATGTTACAACATGGCTGAACCTTGGAAACATTATGCTAAGTGAAGGAAGCCATACACAAAGGGCAGATATCACCAATGTTGTAAGTTTCCATTCATATGAAACATCTAGACTAGGCAATCCATAGAGAAAAAAATAATAATAAGTGGTTTCCGGGGGCTAAGGGACTTTGGAGAAAATGGGAAGTGAATGCTGATGAGTATAGGGTTTTCTTTTGATGATAAAAATTATAGTGATGATTCCATAACTTTATGAATATACTAAACCACTGAATTAGCTTAAGTAGGTGAATCATAAGGCATGTGAATGATCCCTCACTTAAATTGTGTGTCCACCTCTCAAGGAGATTAAAATGCAGCTGTAGAGAAATAAAAAATCCTAGATACACAGGTAAGACAAGAATCAAGAAAGATTTTCAAAGGCCATTAAAAAGAACTGCCCAAGTAATACGGAAAAAAAGAGCTACACTCAGGAGGCATCAAAGTCAAAGCAATCTGATGTTTTTCTTTTCCTACCCAATCATTTTCCTTTTATTCAAAAAGGTCAGATCTTTTTAGTGTACTAGGGATACTACAGGCTCAAAGTCTCACCAAACTTACGAAAAAGGAATGACCACTCAACATTGCCAAGGAATTTTTTTTTTTTTTTTTTTTTTACAAATTCTTCAGAATGCAAACTATTGATGGACTATAAAAACATTCAAGAGTCAACAATCCACAGGTACTTTGAAAGACTGACTTGGTGATCCAAATCTGACTTATATCTTGGATATGTCTTCCACCATTACAATAGTCCCAGGCAAACTCACATGTTAAAGTACACAAAAATTTCCAAATATGAAGCTTTGTAACACCTAGGTATTATGGTATACATGCTGTGAAAACAATGAACTGAAAGGGCTTCCTACCCTCAAGAGTTCTTAAAATTAATACAAATAGCTAAAAGGTGTTTATTGTGGCAGGGGCTCACTCAAACAGCAAAATCAAATTTTAGACAAGGCGGGATTTTGTTTAACAGTCTTATTTTGTTTTGTAGGGGTGTTTAGTGTAAGAATATTATTTGTATTTTCCAACACTGTTTGGGAATATAAATATTATATACTGGAATATATTTTTGCTTTTATATCCAGAAAACATACCATTATCAATTGAAGAAGGCTTGGCCTATATCTCAGTCTTTTTAATAAATATTTGCTGATACTTATTTAAAAGTAAGTAGCAAAAAAATTTCAGTAATTTCTAGAAATCAGATCATCAAAACATAAACTATAGCCAGGTATAGTGGCGCACACTTGCAATCTCCGTGATCCAGGAGGCTGAGGCAGGAATACCACAAGTTTGAGGCCAGCCTACAAAACTTAGTGAGACCTGTTTCAAAACTGTAAGGGCTGAGGATGTAGTTCAGTGGTAAAGTGCCTCTGGTTTAGTCCCCAGTATCAAAAAACAAACACACACACACCACACACACACACAACCTCTATTCCTCACTTTATAGTAAACCTGAAATACAGATGCATTTTTACAGTCATAGACAAAGACAAGCTAATTACTGCATCTAATAAACCTGCTTCCTCTACCCTGATGTCCAACATATTTCAATCAACTTTCAGAAGTGGCTGGGCCAGGTAAACACCCTGGGGACTCACCCCCATCAACTTTTAGACAAATAAATCATCCATGGATCATAAGTTCTGCAGCATGCTCGATTCAGGCAAATCAGGTCATAATTCTGAAAACACTTTGCTTAACAATAAGGACTAGGAAATAAAGTGTTTAATTTTAAAATGTACTGTTCTCAAAGCTCTAAGTAAACTTAAACTAAACAGACTTGAGCCCTTATGCTTGCTTCAATTCAGAAGTGCCAAAACAGGGAATTAGTGTTTGAGCCAGCAGGTTTCTGCTAGCTGTTTTCAACTCAAATTCCTACCCCCTGCCCCAATTTTACCCACTTTCCTTAAACCTGATTTAACTCTGTCAATCACACTTTTCACCATCCTCACTACCAAACTTTAAAAAAAATTTTTTTATATATCGACGAACCTTTTATTTTATTCATTTATTTATATGCGGTGCTGAGAATTGAATCCAGTGCCTCACACATGTCAGGCATAAGCTCTGCCACTGAGCCACAACCCCAGCCCCCTCAAACTTATTTTTGATCACTATTTCAAAACAAAAGAGCCAATGGAATACGAGAATATACCAACCAACAAAGGCAAAGGCTGAGATTAAGAAAAAAGGAAAACAGTCACTGAAAAACGTAAGGCAGAATCTCAAACACTGTTGAAACTGCCTTATAAAACCATTAGTATATTAAAACAGTCCTGCCTCTCTAATGAAATCTACCTAGGTTTGTTTCTGAAAAAGATCACAGGCTGCAATTTCATTGATGGCTTATACTCTCTCTCACTGAAATTAACAAGATCCACCTCGCTCCATGGTAAGTGGGAAAGATGCAAATATGAATCTTTCATTCCAGGCTCTTCTGCTAGTTTTTCTTAATCTATCGATTTGTTAAGGGTGGGCTTTTCCTCCTGCTTCAAGGTTAACTCCTCTTTGTTCGAATTGAAAGTGGGGATTCTGAGCTCTGTGTCAGACTACATAGATTTGAATCCTCTCTGGGCCACTCAACAGTTGGGTCACTTTAGAGTACTGGACCTTTCTCTGTGCCTCTTTCCTAACCTGGAAACTGGAGATAACAGTATTTCCCATGAAGTCACTGTGAAATTATTTATGAATCAATTATCATATTGCCTAGCACACAGAGGTGTCCAATAACTTAATCTGTTATCATCTTAGTGCCAAATTCTTCCTAAACACGGAAAGGTTAACCTGGCTTAAAGAAAAAGTGAAAAAGAAATATATATATAAAACTCCCTATAATTGTTTTCAGTCAGAACGAAGGATATGCTTAAAAAAAAAAAAAAAAAGCATCTGTTCTGTAGTCACAGACTCCTTTCTCATGCAGCTTTGTTAAGTGTAAGTCATCTTGAATAAAAATAAATATTAAGAAAAATGATGCATTTGGCTTACAATGCTTCCATAGCCCTAAAAAAAGACTGGGAGTTCTCCTGTTGCTGTTGGTTTCCCAGCAATGTTTGGGTTTTTTTTTTTTTTTTGGTACTGAAGATTAGAACCCAGGGCCTCATGCATGCAAGGCAAGCACTCTACCAACTGATCTATATCCCCATCCCTCCCAGCAATGTTTTTAAGGACCCAAGTTAATAAGTGATATTTTTAAATGGCCCTTATTATGTTTAATGCAGAGAGACTGATGTGAGTTGTGCAGTTATCCTCCTACCTGTGGGCTTCCACAATGTCCCAAGAGATTTTCCACATATCTAAAGTCAGACTGTTCTTTGCTTAACATTCATTCAAGAGATGAGAAGCTTGTCCTGTTTTTATGCTTGACTTTTAAATATAATCTTATCAGTCTAACCCAAGATCAACTTCATCCCTCATCTACAAAAGTGCTTTATCTTTCCAAGACACTCTTGAAAAATAACTGATGGTTCTCTCTCTACTTAATGAAGATATAGAATCGGTCTGGCTCTTCTTACTATTTTGTTTCTCAACACATCCTCTGCAGAGTGAAAACCTGTAATACCATTAATACCTAATACCCACTTCACACCTGGATAGTTTCTTTGACCCTTTTGTTCAAATCTTTGACTCTTCAAACCTTTCTTACTGAAATGATTTTAATATGAATCACAATTATAAACATGAAACTGATTCTCAATTTTACTTCATTTTTTCATTGTCTTCAAATATGCAAAATGATGTGTTTGATAAAAATAACCAATTTTCCATCTTTGCAAACATAACTGAAAAATTCGTACTTATGAGAAAGGAGTACATATTTTATGCACTTCTGTATATGGAATGCAATACTACACAGTAAATAAAAAATACTAAAAACCAAAGTTCATTTACATCATCTATCTTTTCCTCAAACATTCCTACTGATTACTAACGAACAACAAAAAATCATAATGTACAATATACTTCTTCCTAATAACCAGAACCAGGAGAATACGATCGCAACCATTTCTGGGAGGAAAAGTTCAAGACAAATAATTTTAAAAGGAAAAAAATGTACAATTAATAAGCTGTCAGTAACCTAAAAGCTTACATAACCTCTTCAGGATCAGTCTCAAACTCTACATTTAAGAGCATAAACATATTTACTGTCCTATAAATTTTTCCCCCTACAAACTCAATTATCCCCACCATTGACAAAAGAACAATCTTCTTTTAAAAGTTCCTACAAAGTATGAACAGAAACTTTTTTTACTTTTATAATAATGTACAAAACAATATCAAAATATTATGAAACACCAGTATCCCATCCTCTGCCCTTACAAAGAAAAGGTAACACGATAAGAAACTGAGGAGGCAAATTCTCAAATAAAAAATATAAAGGATTCATGGGATAAATAGCTGAAAGGAATAAAAATTTAGTAACAGGCTAAAAGCAATAGAAATTCTAATCTACACTCACAACTCTTACCCTTGACAGCACAGAACAGAATACCCTGCCTTATACATTTTGAAATTGCAATTTTAAAACGCTAAATCCAAAGACAAAGCCACCCAGGGGAAAATAACAATTGCGCAACAGATCAACAGCTCCAACTTGTCCCTTGGCCCCAGCGCGGCGAGGTTTGCACGCTATAAAGCAGGAAAGGGCCAACTGAGGGCCGCCGTGACAGCCAACCGGCCACTGTCACTGAGGCCAAGGCCACGAATGCTAGGATCGACACAGAGAGGCACCGCACCCCGAACAAGAAATCCCGGTCACTGCCCACTCAAACCTCACAGTCCGCGGACTGGCCCTCACGTTCTGCTGCGGTGCAAGGGGCCAACCCTGAGTTCCCAGCCCAAACCTCTCCCCTGACCCAAAAGAGCGCCAAGAAACGCGCGCGGCACCCCTCCAGACCGCCGGCCGCACGTCGAGGGATTCCAGCGCGCAGGGCACTTCGTGACTCCCCCCCACCTCCGGGGATTGGGTTTTCTAGATCAAAGCTTCCAACGCGTGATCCCATGGATCCACTGGTTAGGTTACTTGGCAAAGTAGCGCCCACAGACGGCCCAGCGGGGTGAGTGCGCGGTGCCACAGCCCGTACCCGCCTAAGTGGTGGGGCCCGGGGGCTAGGGGGACGCGGCGGGAGAGGAGGGGCTCCAGGCCTACACCAGCAGGAGACCTCAGCTCCCCCGAGAGCGGCCCCGTGACTAGGCACATTTTTGCCGGCTCCGAGTCTGGGGAGCCGCGCAGCCCCGGAAAGGGCCGGGCCGCGCCGGCTCAGACTGCCAGCGTCCGCCCCCTCCTGCCCCGCAGCCTCTTGGGCCGCTCAAACTCGAGGACCAGGCCAGGGTTCGGGGTCCCAGCTTCGAGGGCCAGGGAGCGGACGTAGACGCTTCCTCTTCCCACACACGCTGGCACAGCCCCCGAACCTCTCCCCACACTTCCACCCAGCCATCCTCAGGGGCCGCAGGTACGTTGACGGTCTGACCGTCCGGCGGCGTCCCCACTCCCTTCACTGACTCAAGGGTCGTGCAGCGGCTCCAGTGTCCGGCCGCTGCAGTCCAGGCTCTGGCTGTCCCTCCCAAGCCGTGGTTCCCTCGCGCCCCAGCCCCAGTCCCGACACCAACGTGGAGCCCCGGGGCCAGGGAGCACCTGCTGGGACGGCAGTCCTGGCGGCGGCAACTCCATGTCCATCATGCTGAGCTGGAGATTGCGTTGGGGCTCCTCGACGGCGACCCTGTCCCGGCTGCCAAAGCGCGGCGCGGACAGGGCAGCACTGGCGGCGGCGGCAGCTCCTGGGGGCCCTCGGCACTCCCCGTTCGGCTACTCGTCCCGAGTTGCGGGCCAGCCCTCTGGCCCGCTCCGCCTCCCGCCCCCTGAGGGCGGGGCAAGATCCCGGGCCCTTCCTTCCCCCGCGGCGCGGCTGCAGAAAATCCCCCACCCCCGCCCCGGCTGACGCAAGAAGCTTGGTGTCCGGGGGCGCGAAGGGGCGGCGGGCTGGGGTCCTTTGGAGCGGCTTGAGGAGAGGTAGTGTTCGACCCCGGGTCCCCGCGCTCAATTTGCCCTTCCCCGCATAGAAGGGCGGCCCTCTTGCCCGGGAGATTAAGAATTGTTTGACGAAGGTGGCTTGGGCTCTGGCATGAAACAGTTTAAACAGTTGGAACAAACACGCCCGGAGCCCCTGTAAACGCGCCGGTATCGGAGCTGCGCCTCGCTGATTTGGAGTTGCAGAACCTTGCCCATTTTATCTCACCCCACCGCCCAAATGTGGCGCCAGCCCAGAGGCGGGGGCCGAGGATTTGGACCGCGGCGGTGCGTACCGCCAACTGCCCTCTGGCCCTCGGTCCGCTCCGGAGCTGGAGCCAGAGCCCTGCCCAGGGGAGGTGTGGGCCACGCTGCGAGCTCGTGCTCGCAGTCACCCTGAACGCCCTCGATTTACTCCCTTGCGCTCGCACTCTCTGAGCTCCGGTTGCCGAGGGCAAACGAATGGTGTTTGGGTGGGTCAGGGTTGCCCACCAAGAGCTGAGCGGGAACGCGAAGACCTTTCTCTTCCCTTCAAAGCACGCACAAACCACAGATGGCGTCCTTCAACAGGACAACACGCCAAAATTTTAGGAATTTTCAAGTACTCGCGATATAGTTAAAAAATATATAAAGTTATAAAATGATTGAGGGGCTGGGGTTGTAGCTCAGTGGCAGAGTGCTTGCCTAGCATGGGTGAGGAACTGGATGCAAGCTTTAACATCACATAAAAATAAAGGCATGCTGTTCACCTACAACTACAATTTTTTTTAAATGATTGATATAGTATAGACCTGTTTTGTAAAAACCTGTGCCTAGGGATGAAGAATGGTATCTTATGTATTAATAGTTGTAAAATAATGAATTATTTTTCTTTCTCTTTGCTTTAAATGTGTTTTTCTACTGTGAATATGTATTACGTCTTTATATTTAAAACATTTAAAAATTAATCATTGCCTACGGATAACAAAGTATTCGAAAACAAGAATAGTGTGAATTCCTACAAGTTTTAAAAGAGGCTAGATGGTTTGGGTTTTTTTCTCTTACACATCAACACACGAACTCTGGAGCAAGCCTACTTTGCAGTTTCTAGCTTCTCGGAATTATTCAAAACCAGGTGAAGCAGATAGTACCAACAGTGGTTTTACTCTTTCATTCAAAACCTGACTGTAGCAGATCAACGCCCGCCCTGCGCCCGCCCCGCCCCTAGCCCCCCCCCCCCCCCCCCCCCCCCCCGCAAAAAAGAACCCTGCAAGAGCTTACTTTCCCTTGGTTGCATAATTTGACACGCCCAGGAATTACATGTAGGTTTACATGTTCAAATATTCTTTTAGATAAGTGAAGTGTAATTACTTGTAATTGAAGCAGGCTTCTCCAACTTGAATTAAACCTCAGCTGTTGGGTAAAAATCCTGCAAAATGATCCCCACACTGAAAACAAGTTTGGGAGAAATTATTTACAAAAACCTCATACGAAGAAGGCAGACATCATAGTAAAATGACGTTTTGGGGTCAAAGGAAACAACAGTACATTGTTAACCATTCAGGTCACTTATTAAAACTACTACATCAGAGACGGTGGACAGCTAACCAGGAGGTAGGAGATGCTCAGTGGCTATCCTGAAGGCATTCATAAAGTCTTTGGTACTTCCTTGTTAAGCAACATTTCCACTGAGTTTAGACTGAATGAAATAACCATTACCTTTACAAAACTACAATTTGCTGGGAGTATATTATTTCAGGCACCTGTAGAGTGCATATTTTCAAAGGGAGGAGAGGAATATGATAAGTTTGAACATGCCAAAGAAAGAAAAATAAAACATGAAAATCTGTTTGACATTGAATGGTGGTTCAGCTCTAGAAAAGGAAATCTGAGTCTCAGACCACCCATGCCAAGGAGGTTCCCAGTCTTTGAAAATATTGAAATACAGTTGTCCTCTTGTCTCCTCAAAGAGGGCCAAGGAGAACCCCGGCCCTCCTTGCCCTCTAAACTTGCACTCTGTGCTATGGGGGCACAGATAACTACATGTTGAGAAGCACCAGGGGAGCAAGAAAGAAGAGGTTCTCTTTTTTTCTCTCCTTTTCTGGTGTCCATGAGAGCCAATGTACTGCCAAGCTCTTAATTACATGAGTGTGTGCATACGTGTGTGTGTGTGTGGTGTTGGGATTCAACCCAGAACCTCTGCATGCTAAGCAAGCATTCTACACTGAGCTACACCCCTAGCCCTACTATTTTTCCCCTAATTGGTATCACATTCTACTGATCCCTGTACATTTTCATTAATTCTTTGCTGTCTTTGAAAAGACAGACAGCTCTCCACACATGCTTGAGAAGTGTCAGAACTGTGATACCTTGCCCCCAAATCTCACGAAAGGTAAGCATCAAGAAGGAAGCCTTCTGAGTGCACAAAGTTTGGATAACGGTGATGCAGTGACCCATTGTTCCACCTGCTTCTCTTGCCCTCATCTGTCAAGTTCCGAGACCCAAGAAAGAACCAAGGCTGCTGCTTCTATCATTCCTCCTCAGTTATACCCCTTGTTGGAACAAAAAAAATATTCATACTCTTGGAATTATAATTGAAATTTTACTTCATACAGCATATTGGGAAGTAAATTTCCAAAAATGATACCAAAAAAACCCCCACCCCTCCCAATACTGAAGCACATGAGTAGTACCCCTGCGTTGAATCAAGGATGGCCCTGGGGTTTGCTTTAAGTTATTGGAGGCCAGGAGTGCCACTATGCCAGGTCCCAGCCTAAGCCTGAATAAAGCCTGACAGCTTTCAATTTTATACTCTTGGAATTTAGTCATCATATTAGAAATCTGACTACCTTCATGAAGGAGAAGCCACACAGGATGAAACTCCCAGTGGAGAGAGAGGCTATGTGAACACAAGGACCAGATATTTGAATGTCTTGGACTTTCTTTTTTTCATACATATATACACATTCATATATATATATATATATATATATATATATATATATATATATAGTAGTTGGACACCATACCTTTATTTTACTTATTTTTATGTGGTGCTGAGGATTGAACCCAACACCTTGCACGTGCTAGGTGAGCGCTCTACTGCTGAGCCACAACCCCACACACACTCCCCACCCCGCTGCATCTTGGACTTTCTAGCCCACCTAGTCGGGAAACAGAACTCCAGCCCTGCTAATGTCAGACTGCAACCACATATGAGAAACTGCAAGCAGTGGAAGACTGGCTGAGCCCAATCTACCCAAAGAACTGTGCAGGAGTATAATAAATTGTTTTGAGATGGCTTACTTCATAGCATTAGATAACAAAAGTAGTATATATTGAATAGCAAAAGCAGGATGTCTCCAGCCTGCTTTATATTTGTTAAGCATTACTGTGAGCATGTTTTAAGGTGATTTAATAACATCTCAGATCAGTAGAAAAGAATTGACTTCCCTGGCAATGAGGATGTTGTCTTTCCCATAATACATACTTTTTGCTACATACAAAGCAAATGACCTCATCATGTCACACATCAGTATAATACCATTAGATAGGTGATAGTGAGATATTCTCCTTATTAAAATACACTTAAAGAATACAGACATTCCATCAATTAAGTAGATTTTTTATATAAATGCATATTAAGGTTCTGACCCTGATAAGACTTCATTTACACCAGTTATATAACATTCTTGCTGACTGTCTGCTGAGGGAATTTGAACTTCAGGAGAAAACTGCCCATTGAATAAACTGAACTCCAGTATAGTAGAGTCCAAAGTAATTTATGTGTAAACTTTGCACACCTCACTATGCAAACTACAGCTATAAAGAGCTGCATATCTACAAAGCCAGTTTTAACTGGTGCAGTTTCCTGTTCATAATAGAAACAGTGCCCTTCAGGAACTGCAATGCAGTGAGTAAAGGAAAAAAGAAATGGAGGTTTAAAAAGAGTTATTTTGAATTATGTGTGTTGATATAAATATTTTTGCATAAGAAAAATGCTGTCTGTACCCCCAAGTGGTAATAAAAATATATAAATATTTTTGCATAAGAAAAATGCTGTCTGTACCCCCAAGTGGTAATTATTTATTAATCTAATTAGTTGTAAATTGATAATTTTTTGCCTGTCTGTATTTTACTAAATAAACATGTATTATTTTAATCATCAGCAGCAGCAGCAGCATCATGGAGATAAGGTGCAGGGGTGGGGAAGGAATACTTATCTTTCCCCCAAACCACTGGATCTATTTTATTTTCAAATTGAATTTCATTCACATGCTTTGCAGATCTTTCCATCTTGTATTTATTTGAGTGGAGCCTAGAGATTTCATCCACACATTTAATTGTAGTTATGGTAAGGGTATGAAAATTCTTTCCTCTTCCAATTTACTGCCATTATATGCAAAGTTTCACTCAGAATAGTAGTTCCCAGACAAAGAAGAAATTTTATGAGTAGAGACTAAGAAC